TTTAAGCAAAAAAAATCGATTTTTTGAAAATTCTAAAGTGACTTTACCTCTTAATCAATCACGATGCAGCGAGTACGAACTAGGCTTTAGAGTACAGTTTACTTGATGCTTCGAAGCATCCCAGTGAACAATAAGGCGTCTTTAAGACGCCTAAAAGACGTCATAAAATTCTGTAGGACGTCCGAAAAATTTACTAAAAGGCGTCTTTAAGGCGTCTTTAAGACGCCTTATGTCTGTCTTTTAGTAGTCTTATTACACGTCTGTCAGACGTCATATTAGACATATTTTAGACATTTTGATGGATGTCTCTCAGACATTCCTTATAATGGTCTATAAGACGTCTTTGAGACATTCTACAATGTCATTGTTCAGACATTTTTCAGATTAATTTTGGACATTACGATTTTTCTGGATTAAATTAGGTTATATTGACAGAGTTTCGATATACACACACACACACCGCCAGTACTATGAAAATCTAATATTATCTAATATTATCTAATATTATCTTATTCTTGTTCTGCAAAATGTCTTAAACAGATATGTCCAAAAGATATCTTAAAAAAGATGTCTTTATAGGATTTGACTAAAAGTCGTCTTTAAGATATCTTTTTGTAAAATCTTAAAGTCGTCCTGGAAAGGACGTCCAAAAGACGTCTTAAAAAGAATTGTCTTTAGGACTTGGCTAAAAGTTATCTTAAAGATGTCTTTTTGTAAACGTCTTAAAGTCGTCTTTTTTAAGACGTCTTTCGGATTGTCTGTTAGACATTCATGTTCACTGGGTTTTTATTGACCAATCGTAAGAAAGAATTTCTAACTGCCCAATCAAAAAATGTTTCGAAGCATTTATAGCACTAAGTGTGTCTAAGTCTAATTATTTTGATAAGTGATACTGAATCGATAAGATGTCATGATCTTATTTCTCATTAATTTTCTCATTAATAATTGTCATTGTTAACGAAGTTATTATATAGAGAAACGCTAGTGTGGAGTTTAAAATTGGTAATGCATCGAGTATCAAAAAATATGTTGAATTTACAGCATCAGACAACAACAGTTTAGATGTATAATTAATTGAAAACAATCGTATTTATTAATGGAATAAAATACGATACTTTTAATTGCTTTAATAAAATATGTTGTTTGTTTCATTAATAGGTATATACAAGATTATTTATTTATTTTTAATTAAACTACCGTTGCAGCTACCGCCTTCTGCAGATTGAAATTTTCTGATAAGTTTTGCAAATAAATTGGAAATCTTGCATAAAGCGTATCCTAAATAGTAAGGTGACATTAAATGACGTCAATAAGAAGTCGTTAAAACGTCACTTGTTACTTGCACGTCACTGCAGCTGGGGGTGACTCGATCGAGCGCGTGTCGGGGCGTCTAAAGTAAACGAGATAAACGATAAAACGCGAGTGATCGCACGCAAAAAGATCATATGTAGAATAAACTTGTCGTCTCGGCTTCAATCGCGAGAAAGAATTTCACTAATTAATCAATGAGAAACTGTTTGAAAACATTTGTAGCACAGAAAAATATCATTCTGTTGCTAAGAAAAAGTGATTGCTCGATTTATATTTCTTTCTTTTCAGTAACAGTTATCTTTGGCGCGAGAACTGGCTCAAGCGAGTCGCGCTCTTTGCGCGTTCTGTCACCTGCAATTTTATACGAGAATTCAAGTCGCACTTCGTACGTCCCTGTCTCTACCTATTCGCTTCGTTGTCCCCGTGTCCAACCTGCTGTCTCCTTCACGCCCGTTTGTCTCGATTGCATTTTCTCCTTCTTTCTTCTCTCCCTCGTGCCGGCGCGCGGCGCGCGCAGCGCTCCACCGTGCCGTCAAGCCGTGGAGCATGCAACTTAACGTTTCATCATGCGTATTCGGTCATTCACACACGGTATACCTGTTCCAACATTTGTGATGCACTCTAAGTGCGTATCTAAATATAGGAATGAGAATAGAAAGGGACGAACAAATGCTACGCCGCCGGTCGTTTACTTTCGGATCGAAAATCTCCCTTACGCTTTTGGAATCTGATCGATTTAGGCTTGCGCGAATTTTCATAACCATTGATTGTGAGAAAAATAAAAATGGATGAACCAGAACATTCTGATTATATCAGTCAGAATTCTGGTTATCACAGAATTCTGCATGGAATCACAAAAAGTCTGATTACATATAATCAGAATTTTTATTAGACAAGACATCAGGGAATAAGGAATGTGGGAAACCGAATTTTCTGGTTATAACAAACATCCTAGGATTCTAATAGTGTGAAGACTTTACGCCAAAAATGTTTGGTTAAATTGATTAGAATTATCGTTGAAAATGAATGTATCAGAATTTCAATTAATTTTCAATTAGACATTTCCTTTATAGGGTCTTCATCCTATTAGAATATTTAGTAAACCTTAACTAATTAAAAAATTCATATTTATTCATCTTTCACCAGAATTCTGATTAATTCAGTCAGATATTTTTCCTATACATGTAGTCTTCATCGTACATCTACTACAATCTATACCAGATTTGTATATATATATATATATATATATATGTATATATATATATATATCTTATCAGAAAGTTCTATTTTCCAGCAGAATTCCATTTAATTCAATCAGACATTTTTCTCATATAGTCTTCACTCAAAATGAATCGTTAATCATTTATACACATACCTATATGTATAGACAACAATTGAATTGAAGGAGTGTTAAAAGAGCTGACGTATTGCACGATGCAAATCGCTGTCGTGGCACGTTAGATTGTGTCAAATCATCCACTCGAACGTATGCGATTCAAGTTCACTGGATTAGAAGCAGCGAACGATTACTGGTCGCTTTTAATGACGTTCCTGTCAGAGCTGTCACACAATTTTTGCGGTTGTAAATTGAGAGAAAGCAACTGCACATGAACTTTTTAAACTAGAATAGAGTAAATTCTATTATTATTTCGATAATGAATTTTGATACTTTGCGGTAAATATATCCAAATTTGCCCCAGAAAACTCTCAAAATGCATAATTGATGCTAGATCTGTAAAGTCTTGTACCCCATGGTACTAAAAATTATTTTGAAATTTTCGACAGAGGAAAGAATCGAACAGTCGCATTGCAAATGCAAATAGCTGAATTGTTCAAATGTGTTAATTCTCTCTCCGTCCGAGATTTCGGAGCAAGTCCTAAATAGCACCGTAAAGACAAGACCTATTTATGTTAATTAAAGAACTAATTAATTTCATGGGAATTGTTATTTTATGTATGTAAATGTTAATGTTTAGAAACGGGAGTAGTAGGAAAATTAGCCTATGTTACTAGACACAACGAAAATCTAAAAGACAAAGTATAATAAAATCTTGTATAAATTCAGGTCAAAAAGAAATAAATAAGTATTGAAAAAAAGAATGCAATTATAACAAAAAAGGTAATCAAATAAAAAGTGAATAAAATATAAATTTTAATCATTTTATTATAAATTTTAATTATTTTATAAGTCACTACATTTGATAAAATATACATTTAATTGTAACAAAATCAATTAAATTTAAGTTTCGTATTAAACTATATGGAACAAAAAACAACATTCCGAGAAATTTTTAATTTATACATTAAAAAAAAGAACAAAAGCGCCATGTCGTAGTAAAGAATGATTTGTAAAGTGTGCAAGTTTTGAATGTACTTGACTATAAATTTAACCTTAGATATAATATTTAAAAAATTATAACAATTATTTGGAATAAAAGTATTTTAAGAGAATTACGAGCAAAGTTCAAAATTCCAGATTCTTTTATATTTTCCCTGACATTTCCCGATTACCCTGACCAATTTTAAATTTCCTGACTTTTCCCGGTTTTCCAAATCCGTGGGAACCCTATTATATTCGTTTGCAATTCTCAGAACTATAGAAATAAATTACACAAAAGTAAATTAAATTGAAAGTTTTAATATATTTAGAAAAACTACATATAACAGTATATAAATTCACGCGAAATTATATATAAGCAACTCAGATCCAAGCTAGATTGTTATAGGCTTCGTATTAGTTCTTATATTAACGGTCTATAGTATTGAATACTGAATATTGTTTTAATAGGTATAAATAGAACGTTTCGGTTCATTTTGAACCTTCCTCAGCTAATGTATATATTATTCAATTAAACATCAATTCAACTTAAAACGATCCTTGTAAGACATATGTCACATTAAATTGCTACGATAAAAATTATAACTATATGGATCTAAATAGATCCTCGCAACTCCGCGGGCTCCAGAGTGAATCGATCAATCTCATCTTTTCTCTCGCGGGTTATTCTTGAATTCTTATCTAGAACAAACACTATAACGATTGCGAAATAACACTTCGAAAAAGCTTGAGGATCGAACTTGTGTCAGATCTATAATTAGTCGTCGTCGCTGCGGTCGCTCGATAGAATTCCATTATTCCCGTCGAAAGGACGGTGTATCGCTGGAAATAGCATCGGACAAGCGGGACAAGTGCGGTAAGATATGGGGGATTGGGGCAGCACACCTGGCTGGTGCACTCGACGACGATGGTGGTGGTGGCAATTGGTAGCAATTGGCAACGAGGTAGCGACGCGACCTGTCGTCGTCGGGTCGCGTGTACCATCCTCAAGGAGTAGGGCTGATTCTACAATGTGCTTTTTGTTTTCCGTTTCCTACTGTTTATTTCCGTTTGCCTCTTGCCCTATTTGACTATAAGAAGGCAAGAGACAAACAAGGCAAGAAACAGGAAACAAAAAGTAGAGTAGAATTAGCCCAGCTGTCCTAGAAACCAGACGGTGGCGCGGCCATGTGACGCGTCGTTCGACGCGCAGCTCACTTCAGACTTCTGCAGAATCACTCGATCGCGACGGACGCGTTTCGGTCCGAGTGCTTTCAATCGCATACTTTTTGAAAAGTGATGCCAAGTGATGCCGACTTCGATCGTGCTTTGCATTTCATTTTGATTTCGTTTATCTCGCGAATCCGTTTTCGTTGGTTCTGACGCGCGTTATTGCGGCGTGACGACGTCGTAGACGCAGGCGTTCGATTGTCCGTCCGCGGGCTACGCCATTTTCGCGGGCAATTTCGTCATCCTCTCCGTTCACAACTCGTGACAAGACACTGGTCGTATCGCGGGCGTTCGCCTGCGGGAGCCCATTAGAAACAAAGCGGAAGATGTTTGCTTTGCTCCGCTTCGCCCAATCGACAGCGATCAGAGCACGATCGTTTGATGACGTCGCGGAAATCTGTTGCGCGTTGAGAGAACGTGGGAGGGATTCGTGGAATTGTCACGGTGTTCCCTATAATCCGTCATAATTACGTCGTGGATCGTGACCGATGGAGAGTCCATAGAAGAGCGAATGGTTTTTTTTTTCTTTTGTTTCTCAGGCACCCTAACCTACTTCGTGGACACGGCGTTCGCGTGATAAGGCTCGGCGTGTGTGTGTGTGAATATACGCGACGATGACTTCCATCGCTCGGCACTTCCTCGTTCCCTCGTCAGTAAATTAAAGTTCCCTTGCTTCGAACGTAATAATAATCTACGCAACACGCGTTCGTATCCTGACAAGACGAGCAGTCGCGTATGGTTATAGTGTCACGTGAGGCACACATCCGGAGGCGACGACTCGCAATCCCCTCCGGTTAATCCTCGGACTCGAGGATTTCGCGACGCGACCGCGAAGATGCTCCAGCGACGAGATCGCGGCAGAAGACGTGTCCCCGCTGTGACGTACCGCGTTCCCACCACACAAGATGAACTCGCTGCTGAGGATGTCCATAATGGGCAACAAAAGGAACCTGCTGGTCCGCGACTCACTGCAGAGGCAGCTCAATACGAGCGTCATGGAGATGCAGAGCGCGCCGGGGGTCGCCGACGACGGCGGCGGCGTGGTCGGCAACTGCGACGAGACCATGACTCTCTGCTCCGTCCTGGAGGCCGTGTTTCTGCACGGCTTGAAGGACAGCTTGCTGAATCGGGTGACCGAGGCTCTCAGCGGTCCCGACTTCGACGCCATGCCGCAGCCGAGCTTCTGGGGTCCTCTGTTGGTCTTCTCGCATCGTCAGATTATAGACCAAATACAGGCCCTGAGTCAAGTCACCACGGAGGTCGGGTACTGTCGAGCGTGGATACGACTGGCGCTGAACGAGGGTCTGTTAGCTAGCTACTTGTGCGCCATAAAGAAAGACAATTCAGCTTTGAAACCGTATTACAATCGTTCAGCTTATATCAGGGACGTGGACCTCGTTGATGTTGCGCAAAGATTGATAGAGAACTTGGATTATGTACGATTCGAATTGGCCTGCAACAGCAGCCTCTTGAACTTCTGGTCCTCCACTCCTCTACTTATAGCTGGCATCTGGTCCCCACCGATGAAATCTTGTCCCGTATTTAGCGCCGTAGATATAGCGAAAACGATAAACAGCGAGACGGCCGATAATTTTGACGAGGTGGAAACAAGTTCGATCGGTAGCTCCGTCGGAATAGGATCTTTCATTTCCTCGCAATCTGTGTTCAACAATGTAATCACGGAAGACGAGGCGTTGAAAATTATTCTAGAATCTAATAGCACTGTTCATCAATTGCACGATAATCCAACGGGCAACCTGCAGGAAAGCAATGTTGCTCAACAGTTACCCAGCGATTCTGCAAATGCTGTAAAAAGTTCGGAAGATGTCAAGCGAGTGGCCAAGGAGGTACAACAACAGATGTCAAATGGCAATGCAGAAAATACAGACATTGCTGATACGGAGGATCCGCCACAAGATGCTTCGAAGGATGAAGTTGTTAACGATGCTAATGCGGCCACTGTGGGAAATTCATTGATAGGGAAGTTAGGATGGTCGACGTCGTTCGAAGATTGTCAGTCTTCTTTAACCTCACCTGTGATGCCTCACGGATCAAGCGTGGATACACCTCGTACACCCGGCGAAGGTCCTACATATGACGCACTCATTCAAAGTTACCAAACTGGAAACAGTACAGTGGCAGATTTGCAAGAATTTCTAAAGAAATATCCGAAGAAGGAAACTGTTGAAGAAAGCCCTAAGACTCAGCCTGAACCAAAGGTATCGTATATTTCTGGTGTACAAAATATTAAATAGAAAAATAACAAGGACTCTCTGTATAAAAATAATCAATAACAATAAAAGGGCGAAGTAAGAGTCAAATTAAGATTAAAATTACAAATAGTATAGACATGTTGACATATATTTAATTTTAAACTAAGAATACAAAATTGTTAAAAATATGATTACAAAAAACTACTTAAAATCTACTTGAAAGGTGATGCAACTAGTTTCGACTCTAAATTGAGTCCTCCTCAGACTTCAAAATTTGTTTAATGGATAAAATTATTATAAGTATATACCATTGTCAATGTAGACATTTAAGATGTATAACCATTTTAAAATTAATAATACGTTCCGCTTATAATGATAAAACATTGTAACTGCAAAGTAATGATGGATTAAAATAAATAAGTATTTATAATATATATATTACAAGTATAAAATATTTACAAACGCTATTTCACTTAAAAGTAATTCAACGATTAATTTTTCTATTCCAGGCTATGGTGAACTTCGACGAGCAGTTGGGTAATATTCCAAATGAAAAGGGTTTAGACGTGCAAAATTACAGTTGTCTTGAATGTGGCCACGCGATTGGCATGACCTTCTCGAAAGCGCACGTGTGTGCGTATTCGGGCGATTACTACTGTTCGAAGTGCATGGCAGAGGGGCAATATCTCATACCGTCGCGTATCATTCACAATTGGGACTTGAAACAGTATTCCATTAGCCGAAAGGCCGCTTCGTATTTAAAAGGCAAGCCGGCCCTGCTGGACATAAAGATCTTAAATCCGAGGATTTACATGGCAGTAGATACTATGGCACAATTGCAGTCGTTACGGATCCAGTTGAATCTACTGAGAGCATATCTATTCACATGTCGCGAACCCATTATTGAATCCCTACAGAAGAAAGTCACGCCGAGAGATTACCTGTACGAACACGTTCATCAATATTCCGTTTCCGATCTTCTGGACATACCCAATGGGATTCTCGCACAGCAACTTCAAAAGGTTGTCGAATTCGCGAGGAATCATGTAATAAATTGTTGGCTTTGCAGTCAGAAGGGCTTCATATGCGAAGTGTGTAACGATACAAAAGTCATTTATCCTTTCAATATGGAGTCTACATTCCGGGTAAGAGACATGTCGTATTTCGTTTTATCTATTATTTCCTATTTTAATATTTAATTTGACTATTTATTTAGTGTGGAGCGTGTAATGCCGTATTTCATGCAAACTGTTTAAACGCCAGTAAACCGTGCCCGAAGTGCGAACGCAAACGTAAACGGATGGATATGCCTCTTTTGGATATGGGATGTACAGATCTACCGAACAGCAGTGTGTCATCGTCTCCGATTGAAACGAATTAATGTATATTGTTAATATTGACAATGCTTTATTGTTTGTATTCCGAAAAGTTAATTTTGCCACGCACATTCTTGTAATTTTAAAACTATGAATTCCGGCGCCTGCTATTCTCATGTAAATAATTGTATCATATGCATAAAAATGTATGAAAATGTAACATATTTTTGATCAGTTCTTCTCAAATGTATATCGTTATTATATACTTGTACATACTCTTATATAATTAGAAAAATTTTTGTACCTTTCGAGATTGGCAGCTTTCCGTACCAAACACATATAATACATATATAATAGACATTTATTATAATTGTATGTACAAAAGTAGTAAAATATATGAAATCATTAATGACTCTTTTATCGCTATTTATTATATTTAATACTGTTGCTCTATTTATGTAATTTAATAAATTGACATGCTTTATAAGATTGAATTTACTCGATACATTTGTACCTTGTGGCACATTTTTTTGAAAACTGGATATACAAAGATTTTAAGTTTATACAACATTGTAACAATTGTTTTCCAATGACTTTTATAACAGATATACAAATATAAATCATACAGGTGTATAAATGTAACAGAATTTTCTAATCTATTCTGTGAGGCACATTATTTCTGATAAATAGCCTTATTTATGTGGTCATAAATCGTAAAATTAAAGATATATATATATATATATATATAAATATATAAATTAATCTTATATATATGTATATAGTTCTTTCCATTAATATTTTCATTTATATATAAAAATATTTATACAGATATTACACATAAAATCCACAAAGATAAAATTATTTTCCAGGTACCTATGTGATTAATATGCCTTAAATGTAATTACGAATCTAATAATAATGAAAATAATCATTTGCATGATATTTAAATCGTGATTGTATGTGATAAAATGAAAAATTGTGCCATATTAAAATTACTTAAAATTACTCTATTACAAATTTGCTGGTTATAAAAAATACGTTTCTTTATATTGTACAATATTTGACATAAGTGTCTGAAATTTGCAATCACGTTAAAAACATTTAAATTAAGAACTATTGAAAAAATTATTTAATTATAGTCAATATTATAGATTGCAATTTTTGATTTACATGAATGCATATATTATTATATATTATGCTATAAATATATCAATTTCACTGGAGTTTACTTTGCCAAATAATATAAATTATATTAAAAATCCAGTAATCTATTATAAAATTATGCTAATAATATTGGAGCTAACTAGAGTTGATACAAAAGAATATTGTAAGGAATAATGAAATTTTTCTACCAATGTATACGTATTTTATACCATAGTGAACGAGATCGGAGTATGTTAGTGTATAGTATATACAAATAACATTATACATATATATCATTATTAATCCTACATTGATATAAATATACTGACGATAGCCTAATATAATTTTTGTAATTTGTATAAAGAGGTGCAGGATTAAAAATAGTCTAAAATTGTTATCTGATAAAAAAATGTCATGTAAATAATACTAAACATTCTTACAAATATTTGTACTATCTCCGAGACGGCAAACTTGAAATATTGTCATTCTAATGATAATATTGCAGTTTTGTCGTTACTACGTTTTGATTCTTAAAGTACTCTAATACGAGTTTAACTCGTCAATTTCTATTGTATATTGACGATCCTTCTCGAACAGTTAATGCAACGTCTTAGGAAAATATGCCGAAGGTAAAATGGGTTTATCAGACAAACCTGCTCGTCTCAATCCGCCCTGCAAGCCAACGCTTGCACTTTTCACTTTTGTACCATTCGAGATCATCGCCGGACCGTTGTTATTCTCGATTATAGCCGGCGCCGAGGTTGAGGCTGCTGGATTTCCTGGTATTTTATTCAACGAGTTGAAACGCTCCATAGGTGTACTAGTACTCGAAATTAGAGCGCCTTTGTTGAAGGTGGTTAATCCTACCGAACTTTCTGCTACACCGACACCCATCGACCGAGCTGTCGAGCGAGTGGTCTGATTGATGTTCGGATTTTGCACGATCGGATTTTTCATCGGTAATCCCGATAACGTATTAGGTTGTATTGTGCTGGGTGCAGGCGTGCGTGTTTCATATCGATTGGGAAATAATTTATTTGTTCTGGGTAACGTCAATGGAACGGAGGATGGTATCGTAACTGGCGCGGGAGTAGTTGCGCTTTGTAATGACGATTGATTGTCCGCTAATCTCCGATTCAGCCAACTGATTACTGCAAAAGATAAGAACTTCCAAAGTATTGCGAGTTACTCATAAACATTTTTATTAATGAAAACAAAATAAAAAATAAGACATTCTTACCGTTATCATTATTTTTTATAATCTTTTCTTTTTCCTCCAATTGATGTTGCAATGTTTTTATCTGTTCTTTCAAATGATCTACTTCATTTTTCGCATCTTTCTCGTCTTTGATAAGACCTTTCATTTTGATTTCCAATTGTCCGACTTCTTTCTGTTTGCTGTCTAACAACCTTTCCTGTTCGAGCGCTATGCTCGTTCTTAATTTTAATTTGGACTTGGTTGATGCAAGTTCATTTTGCAATTTAGTTAAGATTTCATTGGCTTTTACTAACTCGTCACTTAAACTTTTCAAGGAATTTTGCTTGCGTTGCAATTGACTGTCTCTTTCTGTTAAGAGATCTTCTAAATGCTGCTTTTGTTCTTTACCTGTTTTTAACATTTCCATGTGCTTGTTAATAATCACCGTTTTGTCCTTTAATTCTTGTTCAAGCACAGCTACCTTCGTACGCAAACTATTAACAGCTTGATCTCTGTCATGGTAATCTACATCTAATTTGGAATTTTGTTTTTTGAGTAACGCCAAATCTCGTTCGGCGATATTAAGTTGCTTCTCGAGAGTCTGCAGTTGTTTTATTTGTTCCGCATTTGTAGCTTCTAAAAAGGATTGTTTGTCCTTATATGTTATGTTCTGTGTTCGTAATTCAGCAAGTTCTGTGTGTAATTGTTTCACAGTTTCAGCGTGCCTCTGTTCAATTTCTATTTTTTCTTTTTCACATTGCCGTTGCCATTCTAGTCGAGCTTGTGCTAATCTAAAAGATAGTATAAATTATTAATACTTTTCAAATAATATGAATAATTTCAAGCAGATATGAAATATAACTCTTTGTTAAACAATATTATCATTCTAAAGATTCAAGTATTTAGCTATTACCAATGTAATATTTATCATTAATTATTTATAGTATGACTATATACATACCTGTCTTTTTCTATACTAATTTGCTGTGACGAATTAAATTGTATCTGGTTCTTCTCAGTCAAATATTTTTGCTCCAGCTGCTCTAATTCTTTTGTTTTTGTTTCCAGCTTGTTTGTTAAATCATTTAATCTAGTTTCTAAACCAATTGTATCTCTACTTTGTTTCGAAATATTCTCTTTTAGATGTTTAATCTTCATTGCCATGTGTGTTTTCAAATCTGAATCACTTGCGGGTGATATATTTAAACTCAGATGACACAAATGTTTAAAATTATTCGTTTCCACAAGCTTAAAGTTCCAATCTCCAGACTCCTCTGCCAACAACAGGAGAAACTTTGGCGGAGTTTTTGACAGTTGACTCGTTCCTGGAACCTGACATTGTTCCAATAAGCATATTAACTGAGTGGCAAAGTTATCAAAGTCAACCAATAGTCCTTGCTGTGATTTCAACACCTTAAAGTCATCTTCTGTGATGAATAGAGAGTAGAGAAAACACGAATCTTCATCATCAGACAGCATTACACATAGACTCTGAAAGAACAATATATATATATATATAAATATCAATAATAAATAACAAGACTTAGGAAAGAATAAGATATCAAGAATGACAAAACTATTGATATTTATGGATGGTATTCATATTCTTATTTCAAGAATCAAGTTCTTATTTTGAATGTTTTAAGGAATGTCTCTTAAGATGCTAATATAACTTTCTATCTGATATTCACAGTTAATTTTTTAATTTAAGATTGTCTTAGGTACAATCTTAAAATGTGATAAAAATAAAATTAAAGGATTGCGTATCTATCATAATACCTTAAAATAAGAACGGATTATGAATACTACCCTAAGATTAATTCATGACATATATATTGACTGTACTTAAGATGGTCTTAAATGTATGAACCGACTACTACACAGCCTGCAGACGTTCATCGAATAACGAAAATTAACAGAGAAAAACGCAATCAATGTTCATGCAATGAAGCTGTACGTCTTTACATCTTCGGGTAAGATTCAGCAAGTTAATTACCTTGCGACAAACCGGACTGATGCCAGCGTGAATCTCGACATTGACTCGGAGATCCCGCTGGCGCTCCTCTTTATGCTGTGGCTTGACATAAATCCTTTGGACCTTCGTGTAGAGAACGTCGACATTGTTCAGCTGCAAGCCTAAATCGGCGGTGATCGTGCCGCCTGCTATACTGTTGAGATAGTTCATCGTTCGATCGCACTCTCGGCAAGCACTTGTTGACCTCGCGTCGCTCGCCGCGTCTCATTTGTCGACGGGTTGCGGGAAATCCGGCCGAAACGCGCTAAAATCAGCTCAAACGTATGTATACGATATTTACGAGCCGCTTCGCTCAGCTTGCATACTCACATTGCACAAAACGCAAATAAACGCACGCGTATCAGAGACGCGTATAATTGTATATACACTGCTGTGCTATGGGCGCTTGGTAGTCCTAGGGATGTTTGATACTTTATCGATATTTTCAGTATCGATATTTTTCAGTAAGATATCCGATATTTTTCATCGGTACTCTCGATTCGATAATTTCGACACATCGATACATGTCGATACGGTAAAGGTGCAATGGAGGGCAATCCTCTTACTTTAATTTCCACCAATGCAGGTTTAACTTACTGTTTATCTTTTTCTAATTTTTATAACTAGAAAAAGACGAAGAGTAAATTGAACCGAGATTAAAGTTAATCTGCATTGGTGGAAATGAGCATTTAAAATCGATTAATTTACAATTTCACCAACGTCGGTTAAGCTAACCGACGGTTAAGTCCAATGGAATTATCCAATCGCATTTGTCTTTGACCAGAATGAACCAATCACGGATGACACTTTAACTGTCGGTTTACTTAACCGACGTTGGTGAAATTAGCCCTAATGCCCATTTCCATCAATGCAGATTAACTTTAATTTCGGTTCAATTTGCTCTTCATCTTTTTCTAATTCTAAAAATTAGAAAAAGATTAAGGGTGCAAACCCATGCAGCGTAATAGCGTAACGCGGAACGAGA